TGTGTGTGTGTGTGTGTGTGTGTGTGTGTGTGTGTGTGTGTGTGTGTAACTTGGGTGATCCATACATACAAAGAAATCAAACCATAAATGTCCAGAAATGAAGTTATTTGTAAGAGTCTTGGATTTATCATGGTGGCTCAGTTGGTAGAGCTGATGCCTCTCAGCAAGATGGTTGTCGGATCGAATCCCAGCCTGGGACCTTTCTGGGTAGAGTTTGCATGTTCTCTCTGTGCATGTGTGGGTTTTCTCCAGGTACTCCAGTTTCCTACCACAGACCAAAAACACAAGTGTTAGGTTAAATGATAACTCTAAACTGTCCCCAGACAGTGAATGGTTGTTTGTCCCTGTGATGGACTGGAGACCTGTCCAGGTGGACCCCACACCCAGTGACCTCTGGATGTGGGCACCAGTGACCCTGAAAGGAAGAAGCAGGTATAAAATAATGGATGGATGCTCTTCCAGCTGTTTCTAGATGTGTTGCTGCCATAAAATAAACTTTTATTCTGAAAAAAAAGGTTACAAAACATAAACAAGCATTTAATGTATTATGGAGTTAAACCAGTGATAGCTGACACTGATAGTGAAAAAGAGATTTGACACTGAAAAACGAAACACTGAAAAATGAAACATTGAAAAATGAAACAGTAAAAAAATAAACATTGAAAAGATTTTGGCATTTTAAAGTTATAATGCTAAAATCTTTTCAGTTTTTCATTTTTCAATGTCAGATCTCTTTTTCAGTATCACTGTAAGCTGTCACTAATTTAACTCCATAATATGTTTACTGGAATCCTTTATGAATAAAATCTGAGGTTATGAATTTTTCATGCGCACCATTTTAATTTACATTTGAACTACTTTGAACTTATTAACATTTTAAACATGTCTTGTTTTATTTTGACAGGTTTTGGTGATTCAACCCTGAGCTCTCCTCAGTTTCCCTCATGTTGACGTGTTTGGATGAAACGGTGAACCTCAGGTCTCTGTGCAAGTTGTCTGTTAGATTTAGATCATTTCCACAGTTTATATTTATAGATGTGTAACCTTTCAGTCACATGATCCTCAGCTAAAACAGGGGGTTTAAAGGGCCTTTATTCACACGTGAAGAAACAGGAAGTGATGTCAAAGGGGAATGTCTGCATGTAAACAGAGCGTTGCTACAGTAGCTAACAGACTGTAGAGAAGAATCTGATGTTTTTTAGATTATTTTAAATATATCAATGAGAGATGAAGAAGATTTAAAGTTTAACTTTTGTTTTAATAAACAAAAAAACAGAGTTTGTTTTATTAATGAGTTCCCCTTTGATGTCACTTCCTGTTTCACTTTGGCTGAGCTAAATTCAGAAGAAAATATGCCATTTATGTGACAAAATGGGTAAAATGATCTGTACTATGCCAGTTGTCTTAAGTATAAAGATGTTTTCTTTGACTTTTTGTACACGAAGGATAGGCGTATCACAGACACTTTAAACTCTGACAGTAAAACAGGAAACACTGTTGTCACGATGCAGAGAAAACCCACCACTGTTCAAACATTTACAGTTCATTTACTCATTACTCAGCACAAAAACAAGCTACAACACTGACAGGAAAACAATTAGTGTAAAAACTGAGGCATTTCAAAACAAAAACAGATAAATAACTTGTTAAAACAGTCAGGAAAACCCTGAAGTTAAAGTCAGGGAGTGTTCAGTTCTGTTTAGAAGGTCTGAAATATTTAAATACCAACAAGGTTTTAAATCACAGCAGAGAAAAGGTGACTTCATAAAGTTTAAATCTGTTTGTTGACAGATGAAAGTGTTTGCAGAGATACTATAAAATCAAATCTCAGTGTTGTCATGGTAAATAAACAATGGAATTGTTTTTCACTCGTAAACAATTTGACAAACCTGCTGCAGCTGAAACTGTTGTTCTGAGACATTCGCAGCTTCATATTTCTAAAGATACTTGTGAGAAGAGCAGAGCGAGTGATGAGCGAGAGACAGAAAGTCCTCATGGAGCTGCTGCAGGAGGGGACGCTCTGCGACGCTGTCCTCACCGCTGCAGGAGACGTGCACTTCAAGGTTCACAGGGTCATCCTCTGTGGCTGCAGCTCATACTTAAGGTCAGCCCACTCATGACGGGTTAATATTTATTGTTATTGATCCATAAAGTTTTACTTGTGTCTATCTGTTAGAAAAATATCTCTTAAACCATGGATGAGCATTAAAGGGATCCCCGATTAGTTGTATTGAATTGCATTGAATGTTTTGAGGAATGACATTCCTCAAAACATAAAGTCCATTTCAAAACTACAGCCCTTTAAGAAGAATCTTGTCTGCCATCTGCTGGACACTTTTTGTTGTGCT